TTTCCATATTATCTAATTTTCTGTAGAACATTCATTAGAGGGTACTTGTCTCCACAAATCCCTCTGAAATCGTCGTTATCGAAAGCCCAGACCATCATTCCTCCCAAGTTTTTCGAAATTGTGGACTGGCACACTCCAAGGCGTTTATTCACCCTTCAAAACTTGATACCAAACAGTTGTTGGGCTACAATAGGAATGTACTACGATGTCTTAACAGTTCTTCTTACAGGTCACTGTCATTTGAGTCATCATATGCAGAGGCTCAGACTGTCGTAAGACAGTGTGTGTCGCCTTTATTTGGAAAATGATGAAACAGCAATGCACATACTTTGTGCCTGTCCCGCTGGGGACCGAATCAGGTTTTTAGAGTTCGACAGAGCCATACTTTTACCATCTGACCTGAAAGACCACTCACCATACAAACAAATCGGCTTCGTTAAGATGAGTTTATTTGGTCGAGTGGTAATAGGTGTGAGTCACAATGAACCCTTGCGGGTTGCGGTGGAGGGTAGAATAGACTCACTCGCTTTGGACCTAACCTAACTTAACCCCACGAAATGAGGTTCAGACAATATTGAGTATTACTCTGTGAGCTAAAAGAAATAATTACCTGCGGAAATTGAAGAGCAGATAAGTACAAATAAACTAGAAGTCAATATTATTTGTTTCATTTTGATACAAGATACTGAACACTCACCTAGGAACTAGATTCATTTATACAAATACGCAATCTTATCTATGATACTTCTGAAATAATTGATATTTCGAATATAAGGAGATCACTGTACACAAGATATAAGAAAAATCCCCATCAGTGATCATTCGTCAGAAAAACTTGAGAATTTTTCATTTAAATGTAATATCATGTAATTTTGTAGTAGTCGATCTACAGTAATCTAGGACGAGGATATGAGGACCTTGGAGGAGACCCATCAAAAACGTTGCGTGATATGGTGGATGACCTAGGTATCAGCTTCCATGCGCCTTTTGATAGTTTAAAAAGTTTTGGAAATGTCAAAAATGCGAGATATGAGTGCCCCACAATTTGAACGATCGACAGAAATTGTCAAATTTCGAGGTCTGTTCTTCTTTGCTTTTGCGCAACCAAAACGATCTTTTTTTTGGGTCGAACCGCCACGTGTGATGAAAAGTGGATCCTCTACGACAACATGATACGTTCAAGACAGTGATTGGAGACCCATTAGCCATCCAGACACTTTCCAAAGGCGCAAACCTACCAAAAAGATCATGGTTATTATATGGTGGCCAGCGGGTGGTGTGATTCAATACAACTCTCTGCAACCAGGACAAACCATCACAAAAGAGTCCTACTTTGAGGAAATCGACGAAATGTACCGAAAATTGTGTCGGCAAAAGTCGGCACTGGGTCTTTGAGCCACCTGCATACCAAATTTCTTTCGCATTTACCGTTGGACCGTTTTGCCAATCCTCTCTACTTGGTGGAAGTTGTACTGCAGAAATGTGTTATCCACAGGCATTCCTAGTATTGAATTTAACTTCAGTTCATTGTACAGTTTCAATTATTCTGCATCGTGTCACTGGCTGATTGGGGTTTGCCCCTGCATTAGCCTGTGTGTCACCAGTCGAGCTTCTCTTTGTATGTGGATCTGCAATGGTGGAAGAATATAAAATATAAAGCATTACAACCTATTTTACCGATCTATCAATTACATCTACGAAGGATCGTGGCTATCTAAGCCAAGCTTGTGTTACAGCCGCGAATCCAATACATTTACAAACTGAGATGATCCTACTAATTAGTTCTGGGGAGTCCTAGAAGGACGACCAAAGTGATGAGCAGTTTTTTAGCATAACAAGAGCATCAAATACGAAAGAAGATACAGAAACAACAGCTTGTGACATTGTTTTGAGTGATTGCAGTGTGGTGAATTAGTCAATTATCCAGTATTGTTTCCAATCTGTGGTAGTTGTGATTGATAAATGTTTTCAATTCTATTTTCAATTTAGTATAACTGCTGATACATGTAACTGACTGAGTTTTGGTCCAATGTATGTAATAAATTTTTGATTGTGAGTGAGTCGGCATCGTGGAACCTTTGCAATCTGAGAACGAGTATTATATATATTCTGAACAAATGGACTCGTAACACTGGCTGTCCATAATATACAACAGAAAGTATTTCAATATTAAATATTACAAAAAGGATTTGAAGCTTTATATCTTCTATTAATTATCTGCGAGCGCTTTCGACAGTTGGTAGTACTCTCATCTTCTAGGCACTCCTCAAACTGAACTTGTCATCCTATCGTCTGCCTCTTTATACGGTCAGAGCGTCTCAAGTCAGGTATTTCAGGTACTTTAGGTAAATTTGCCTGTATTTGTTCTGCATCAGGTACTCTTCTTTGTATTAGATCTTCTCTAGGAATGTGTATGGTTTTGTTTAATATATTGAATGTGAGGTCTTGTTGTGTTTTGATTTGTACTTGTTCCTCGATAAGTGACTTACGACTGTTACATTTATGGATGTTCAAGTTTTCCCAAATGTCCATGCGGTTTCCCTTGTTGACTTGTTTTATGAGTTTTAAGTTTTCTGGTGGGGGGAAATTATGTTTGTTTTGTATGGCGTGTGTTGCGAGGTTTGATTTATATACTATTGGATTTCTGTATGCCTTTTTGTGCTCATTGTACCTTTGGATCAGTTTTTTCTTGGTTTGGCCGATATAGAATCTGTAATATTTTTATTTAAATTTTTGGGTTTTTTGCCTTTTATAATTTTTTGCTTTAATTGTTTTATTTGTCATTGTTACGGTCTTAGACATTTTGCATAATTTAAATATAAAAAATATACATATTTAAAAGTAAAATAAAAGCAACCTTCTAATTCAAAGCAAGTTTTATTCTCCGATTAATTGCGTAACCATTATTCACAATTTTCTAACTCAAAAGAATACTAATTCCATAATTAAACGACTTATCTTTATAGCCCTCTTTTTCTGTTTTGACCTAAATTATTTTGAATTCAATAATGAAGTGGACTAATAGTGTTTGTACGTTGGTTAAACAGTTTATTCAGGATCATGTAAATCTACATGAAGCAGAGACAACTTTATTCGCAAATATGTGCATCTTTGTTCCTCCGAATGCTTTCTAGTTCAGGCCGCAAAAACTGCACCCTTTTTCCTATTCTTGACCAACTGTAATATGTCTCAGACAATGGTTTTGGAAAGGCCTTCCAATGGGCAATGTTCCTCAATTTGGGATATTACAGCAAATGCAAGTTTGAACAAAATAAAGTTGAGTTTAATTAATGAGTTTTTCAAATTCACTTGAAAAGTATTCGAATTGATGTTTCAATTGTTGGGCTTCAATTTTTAAATGGATTTGTTTCCAATTCACATAATTTATACGTACCCATATATTCTACTTTAAAAAAGGAAAATTATCTTCATAAATCATCAATTAAGGCAAAATATAAATTATAGTTCAATACCACCTCCACAAGCCACACAAACAACAGTTGTTTTGTTATTTATTTATATAGAGGAAGATAGGTTAGGTGTACAAAATGTCATATGTCACAGAATGCCTCCGAACTCGGAACATAAGTAAACAGAACAGCACGCCTCTGAAATATGTCATCTTTGTCTCATACAGGTAACAGAGATTCATTGCTCTTTATTAGTTATAAACGATGTTGCCAAATGGTGAAATAGAAACGAATCCCTTTAAATGTTGAATGTATTATTTCATTCCTCTTTTTTAAATATTTAAATAATTTTTTAAAGAAAACGGTTGAAATGATAAGTTCAAAATGCGTTGTTTTAGAGCTATTTTATGAAAACTACTTTATTTTCGTCAGGAGGAACATTCCCCATTGTGCAGATATTACCTGTGGAGTCCCGCAATGGTTCATTGTCGATCCCCTGTATTTTACTTTATATAAATAACTCCACATCGCATTTTAATGGAAGTCTGGAAACTACTGTTTTTATGAATGACCGGGTTTGATTTAATAATGACACGTAAAAAATCCAAAATCAAATTACGACTTGATCGAAGGAGATATAAATTGCTATTCATTTCTAGTGTGAAAAATGTATCATATCTTATCTCAGACTTGAAATAAATGAACAAACTGTTAGAATCGAGGCTCTCTGAGAATTGAATGAAATTAATGGCAGTTAGTTGGTGATCCAAATCTTTATTATTAGATATGTAAGTACTCATTTCAAAGGTTAAAATAATTGAAGTATCATGTCAGATATGCTCGAATACCTTGGAGATGACAAAAGCAACAACACAGGACTTACAAAATGTTTAAGAGTTTCCCGATTGAGCATTTCAGAGTCACTATTTTTCGAGTTTGTAATACGTCGGTTATTGGAATTTCTTGCTGACGTTTCGCTGGCGCCAGTAGCTAGCTTCCTCAGAGTTTTATACATCCTGAGTTCCTTATCCCCGATGACTGGATATATCGGCTGCGTAAGGCGTATTTACGTTGACTCAGGTAGTCTGTCGAACCTTTTCTATCTGCCGTCATGCTGTTTGCTATTCTTGAACTTCTTAGAATGGGATTCCATATCCAGTTGAGGTTCACAGATTCTTCTTGTCTGTTAAAATTATCCGTGTGTTTGTGAATTTCTATTGCCTCCACTACCAGTCGGCTGTGGCATCCTGTGGTTTTCTTCACTGTGTGCGTGCTCCGCCACAGCCGACTTGTCCGTTTGAACTATAGTCTGCAGTTTCTTTCATGCTCCTTCAGCCTTATTCTCATGAATCTTTTGGTGGTTCCGATGTATACCTTACCACAAGTGCACGGTATGCGATATACTCCTGCTGCTGATAGTGGCTCTCTCTTGTCTTTAGCCGACATGAGACTCTGTTGAATCTTCCTGGTGGGTTTGAAAACTGTTTGTTTGTTGTTTCCCCAAAAATTTTCCAAATATATCTGTGATTTATAGTAGTAACGCACGTGCAACCATCTGAGCCTCCTCCTCATTTTGAACCGTGGAACTCTTCAATTGTATGGCCTGATCTCGGGTACACCGTATCCATTTGACCTCACGGTTACTTGAAGATGTTCCTGTTCTTCCTCCTTTTCTTCCCCACATATTCTCTGAGCCCTTTCAATTAGAGTAGAGATGACCCCTCTATGTTGATTATGATGGTGGTTTAATAGTGCGTGCAGGTATCTATTCGTATGCATGGGTTTTCGGTAAAGCTTGTAGGTTAGTCTAACATCACATCGTTCGACGAGTACATCTAGTAATGCTATCCACTGGTCCAGTTCAGTCTCCATAGTGACCTTGATGCTGGGGTGTTGAGCGTTGAACTGGTCTAGAAAGAGTGCTCTTTCCATATTTCCAGATGACGAAGATGTCAACCACGTAACGTAGCCACAGGGTTGGTTTTAATTCAAAGGCGTCGATTGCTTTGCCTTCAAAACTATTCATGAAGTAGCTACAACTTGGCTAGGCGGATTTCCCATCGCCACGCCACCTAGTTGCTCATGGAAGTTACCCCTTCATTGAAGGAAACTCCCCGTGAGACATGCTCCTTAGGAGTACGACAATATCACTCGGAAACTGGTATGCTAGCCCCCTCAGAGAGCCTTCCAATGGGACATTGGTGAACAAGAACACAACATTGTAGCTTACCAGAATATCTCCCAGCTCCAGAGATGATTCCCTAATTTTATCAACGGAGTCTGTCGAATCCTTGACGTAGGAGTTTGTTTTCTCACATGAGGCTGGAGGAGCTAGGCCAGATGCTTCACCGGGTGGTAGGTAGGAGAGCTTGGGGCACTGACAATTGGTCTAAGTGGCATGTTGGTTTTATGTACCTTCGGAATACTGTTGATCCTGAGTGAAATGGCTTCAGTTCTGAGAATAGTTTTCTATACGTTTTCTAGCAGTGACGAAGTTTTAATGATTCTGTTAATGTTCTTGAACCTTAATTGTGTTGGGTCCTTTTTGAATTTGCGGTGGTTTGAAGGGTGTATCACTTCTTTGATTTTGCTGTAATATTCTTTCGTTTTCAGAAGCACCGTGGCAGTTCCCTTGTCCGCTGAATCATGATGCCGTCCTGTAAAGTCGTCAGGAGCTCGGATCCCCTTCTCTGCATGGTCCGTGACCATGAGAGAACAGAAACTGAGCATTTCTCTTTAGAGCAGCTGGCCGAGTAGCTGATGAACTCGTTTTAGTTTTCGACACTAAACCGAGATGGAACCCGTTCAGCAAAAAGCTCAGAAAAAGCCGCAGAGATCACCTCACTTCTGCGGAAACACAAGGATAAGCCAATGCATGGGGTTTTCTTCAATAACATTGGAGACCTTGGCTTATCAAAGCGCAAAACGTTCGGTTTTCTCAGGTCGAGTGGGCTGAAGTCGGAAACTGAGGGGTTCATCATGGCCAGGATGGTGTCTTTAACACCTAAATCTACCGCAGTCGCGTGATGGGTATAGATGTTCCTGACACAGGGTGCAGGGCTTGCCGCAAGGCGCCCGAGACCCTAATCCACTTGCTATCAGCATACGCTGTCTCGGCCTATATCCATCGACATAACGCGGCCTAAGAGTGCTATATTACCATCTACGGCACTCTTACGGTATAGATGAGTCACCGGTGTTGTCCAACGCTCCGGGAGATATTCTCGTTGTGGGCAACGGGAAGTGCCGAAGTTATTGGAACTATTCACTATGTCAAGATGGTTAGCTCACTGCGCTTGCTCAGGGCACATGATTCTAGGTCCCAATGATCACTCACCCCACGATGTGGGGAGTGGTCGTTGGTTGATGATGCTGGCGCGCCTTCCCGAATGTATGGGGGCTTCGGAGGATAGGGCCTAACCATCGTACACTACGGTGAAAAAAAACTTTATTGTCATAGAGAATAAAACTTGTGGATAAAGCTTGTAAAAAATAAATACAAATGTGAGTATAGAAATATAAAATGTGAATATAAAAACACCTACAAAAAAGTACCTAAAGTTAGAACATACACTATAGTTCAACGTCGAGATTTTGTGTCAACATGGTTATATATGGTTTTATATTATTATTATTGAGCGTGGCCTGGTTTTTCTAAATTAGATCACCTGACCTTGTTTGTGTACCTCTAAGGACAGTTATCCAGATTTTATTATTGTCAATAGCCACTTTTTTTTCTATTAAATTATCCCTGTAGCTTAGAATGAGATAAAACACAAAATTACTATTCTAGAGTATATAAAAAGCGTCATTCATGAAAACCTGTAAATCACACAATCCTCAGAAGTTGAAACTTGTACAATCTGAAGCTGAATATGGAGTGAGCGCACATCGCTCCAGATTTGGGATCGAACCAACATCCACAATAGAGGTGGTTTCGTGTGTAAAACTCACTAACTAATCAGCTACTTTCTGCCCTATCAACTGAATTTATGATTCAAAGACCACAGATTCGCCACTGGCTGAATCGTTGGAATGTTGTTTACCCAAACGAAAGAAAAGAAAACCCCAGAAAACACTTCCAATCAAACAATTTCAATATCACTCGGAGGCAAAAGACCGAACCGAACAAAAAATAAAAGTATACACGACGAATCTGGAGAAAACCGTCGGAAAGATACGATATCGTCAGTTCCTTGGTTTCCCACTAGTGGGAGAGAGGCGTTGAAAATCGCCACTAAACGTCAAATAAAGGCCATCGCACTTTATATACAGCCACTTTCACCGATAATGGGAAACGAGAACGAATGGAGATTGTTTTTCTTTCTTTTCTCGCTTTTCCTCATCTGAGATCGCACCGTTCCGATTTGGGATATTTTATTAGTAAAAGAGAAAGACAACTGATCAATGTTTGTTTGAATGGATATTATTGAATGTTAGAGATTCGAACATCTGTTGTATAAAAAAGTGTGTTGACAAGTCTGATAGATTACAAACAAGCTAGAAGAAAATTGAATCAGTTTTGTAACGGAGGTCACTTTAGCGGAGGCGGAATCAAATACTAAAGTACAAATGGGTTGTAGCCAGCAGCACTGTCATTATGAGCGCTTCTTCATAAACAAAACTCCGTTAAAAATCCGTCAGTTATATCATAAAACTATCAATATACAGGGTGTAACGGAAAGGTAGGTCATGCGTTGCAATTACATTAATATTCTGACACCAATGGTTTAGTACATCATTTTTGAAATATTTTGGTCACTTCCAAATGCCACTTTTCATCGAGATGCGGGCTATTTTTGAATTTATATAATTTGAAAATTTTTTAGTTGGCTTTTCAACATTTGTAGTTCCGACAGATAAATAACAAACAGTTTCATCTTCATGTTGAAGATGATCACTTGGTGATCATCTTCAAGATGAAGATGATCACCAAGATGATAACGGTTTGGTGTTGGGATAAAACTCCAGTAATATCCAACAAACAGTTGCTTTAACAATCAAATACTGTCATTTGTGACACCATTGGTTTAATACATAATTTTTGATTTTTTCCATCTTTCAGTACTTTTTCGAAAAGCCAGTTCTTATTGAGATGCGGCAAAAATTTTGTTAGTTATAATAACTGAGTATTCATGTTATTTGCAGGCAAAAAAATACAGTGCATTTCTTTAATCCCCCTTCCCCTTGTATTCAATGCATAAATTCAGTGCAGGAATCTTCACAGAAAATTTTCCTGCATATGCAATTGGCAATTGGAACGGGCACACTTGCATTGAACGTCGACTCTTTCAGTTGTATTGCCAATTGCATATGCAGAAAAAATTGCATATGCATTGGTGAGTTAGAATATTTTCATTTAGTTTTCGGTTTTACTAGTAGAAACGTACCACGTCAGCAATCTTTAAAATGGTAAAATAGTAAATCCCGAACAGTTTACTTATTCCATCGCGAATGTTTGCGAGGTGTTTCCTTCTACTGAGTGGAGACTTTTGAAGAGGAATAGGTATCATCCATATAAAATTAATATGGTACACCAATTAACTGAAGATGACTCTGATCGAAGAACAGAATTCTGCGAAATCATAAAGTAAACCATTGCGAGGTATCCATCTATCTCCACAATATTTGTTTCAGTGACAAATGTACAGTTTTTCAAACGGCAATGTTTACAGACGAAATTGCCGTTATTGGAGTGACACCAACCCTCACGTTTTACGGGAAACACATGCCCAATATCCAGAAAAAATTAACATTTGGACAGGAATATTGGGAAACCATATTGCAGGACCTCTATTTATTGATTAAAATTTAACAGGGGAGCTATATTTGAATATGCTGGAAACTACTGTTGACCCTCTCATCACTAAAATCGTCAAAGTGAATCCTGGTGAATTTGATATAGATATTGTATCCTAACAAGATGGAATACCACCATATTACTCCAGACAAGTAAGAAACTATTTGGATACTACCTTTTCCGGGCGTTGGACTGTCCGTCGGGGTCCTACAGAGTGGCCATCCCGTCCGCCAGATTTGACACCTTTGAATTTTTTTCATGGGGTTATTTAAAGCAAAAGGTGTACGAAACTGAACTTGCTTCCATATTGGATATACGGCAGAGAATAACAAATATTTGTAGAGATATTGACGTGACTGTGTTCGAAAATGTTCGGCGTGAAATATCGGATAGACTGTTCATATGTCAAGAAGTTCAAGGCAACCATTTCGAGCATCTTCTGAACTGACCTCAAGCTTATTACCTCATATTATGTAGTTAAATGTCAATGTATTCAGGCAATTATTTAAAGTTCCGCCATTTTGTAGTAGTTGAAGATATTGACATTATTTTCTAGAGTTGTGAAGCATTTGTCAGGAGCTTCAAAAAGATATGTCACAAGACCCCTCTTTCTATTTAATTTTTTTCCCAGGTGGCGCCCAGTCGCCATCTTGAAAGTTTCATTTGTCAATTTCACTTCGAAATAAAGTATTCATGTATCAATTTCATTATTGGTATTGCTTAAAATGAATATTCAAAATGGGCTCCACATTACCCTAAATACACATTCAGCACCATTTTAAAAAGTAAAACCTAAGTTTTGAGTCAATCATAGACTTTTTACGAAAATGATTTGCATTTTCAATGATTCGATGCCTCAGTTGTTCGCCGATTATTTCAACAGAATACACGTCCTCTTTCAGAAAACCCCAGAAGCATAAGTTGATGGGATTAAGATCTGGAGTTCTGACTGGCCAAGAAATAGGTGCATCAGGGCCCCTTCCAACCCAACATCCAGAACATAGACATAAAAGATATTCTCTATCTTCGTTATAGGAATGCGCTGGAGCTCCATCTTGTTGATACCACATATTTTGCCTTATTCTTAAATTCACCTCTTTCGAATATTCTGGTAAATCATTCCGTAAGAACT